TGTAATATCTTTTCTTTCCACCTATAACTGGTTATCTAAGAAGATGTTTTAGGAAAGTTCAAATACCTGGATCAAATCATTTACGTCTGGAAACACGTTTCTCGCCTCAACTAGTGAATCACTGAAATTCTCCACTAGAACAGGTAATATCACCATCTTCTGTTGATACATACAAGGCGGGATTAGACCTTCACAGTGCTACAAACTGCAAGGATTAATATAGGTCGATAGACCTATCTTCACTGCAGAAGATCAGTGTGACGTTGCACTACCTTGAAGTCCGCGGGAATGTTAATCCCCCTAGGCTTATTGACTTTAAACGGTATATAAACACTCATGTCGCATTTCTATATGGTAAATGGTGTTGGTACTCCTCTGAGTTACCTTTTTTTCTCTTGGTAATTCGAATAATAAGTTCACACATCACCGGGCTTCTAAACAGGGTACTGGTTTTTAAATTTGTTATGAATCTAATTTACTTTTGTTCGACCATAGTATCACCGGTGTATCAAGTCAACTTTAACTTGAATTAGCCCGGTTAAGTTTCATGTCTTTTGATTTGCCTTTCAGTTATGCCTTTATTGTTCCTGCTAGCTTGTATTTTGCGTGCATTTTAGTCGTTTCTGTCACTACGCTAGATTTCGCACTAGTTTTTAGAGTCCACGTGTAAATGCTTGATGTGGACTTGTTTAGTGCTTAGTATTAGTTGTTGGTATGGGGAGGTAGATCGCCTACTCTTTAAGCAGGAAGTAGAGTGTGTTGGTTTTGTGTTTGTTGACTGGAGATGATATCGATACAGAATGTTGAATGATGGTTCCTTGATCGGTTTCGTTTATATTCATCGACTTAATCTCATTAGTGAATAACGGATTAAAATAAGCAAAAGATGAGTGTGTGAGAAACACCACGCATTTGTTAACACAAACAAATGCAATACGATGAAGGCATAATATGCCTACTAAGTAAACAATGGATGACTTGGTCCCTTTTATATGTAAATTACAGTTAAGAAATTGAAGCATAAGTGACACAATTAAGGCAACCACATATAAAAGCGCACATGAGTAAGATTAACAAGGTTATAAATAACAGGTACATGGAAGTTCATAGGGCATATGATAAGATCAAAATAGATCATTTGATGGACAGATTTTCTTAAACAGAAGTATGGGGAGACTGCTATAATGGGTTTAACAAGTGGTTTCATAAGACACGTACCTGTTTTAAACCTATTGCATTATAAACAATGTTTGGAGTCTAACTCATTTGTTCAGTGTATTTTCACATTCCGGTACGATATCGAGTATCCATTAGGCTTTGGGGCCTTTGGTAACGTATTACTACTGGAGATTCTGGTACAGAGAGCTAAAATTGCACTAGTATCATAACTATGCCTAAAGGAAGTGAAATAAAAAATCAGACTACTAAACATGGAAATTCTTTGATAAAGCACATAAAGGATGAAATGTCACAAGGTGGCTGACTGATTGTAGGTGAAGTTGACTCCCGAATCATTTTATGTAAAATCCCTAATATAACCGTCAATAACTTAAAGAGTTATACCATACGGAACGGCATAACAGCGATAACTCTAACGACATTGTCGATGCCGTATACAATAACCATATTCTCTTCTAACCCCAACTTCTCAAAAAAAGAAATTTTGTAAGAAAGTTTTATTGAAAGCGACCAAAGGTCGATTTAAGTTCACGTTAATTCTGTTATATATCGACCCACTGAAAGTCAACGAACAGAATCCAATTCAAATCAACGAATAAATCTCACACTGACTATCTTAAATGTTATGTTTGGTTGTTTGACATCCCTAGCATCATCATACGAAGGTTCCAAGTAAAAAAAGATGAAAATCAGAATCGTGGCAACTAAATAGAGAGATAAATTTCACGAATGCTTCACCTTTAGGTGGTAGGTATTTGGGAAGTTCCCATTGCGGATCGCGGAATGCCTTTACGAAACCCCATAGTATGACTATGAACAGACTTAGTGCAAAGGAATGATTGAACTGGTTTCAATATTATGAAATATTTCCATCAATTGGATATTCTTACTCTCAAGTCAGGCATGGGGATGGCTAAAATGAGGTCTGGATATTTGTCCGTAACAAACTGTCGAATATTTCAACGACAATTCATGTTGACAAATCTGTAAAAGTAGGCGAGATGATTAGTGGGAATACCGTGTAGACTCCTTAAAATAACTATAGTTGGAAGCAAAGAAATTTTGTTAACCGGTGCTCTAAAGCAAGGTTATTCTGGCATTCACACAAGATTTGAATTATCGTATGGAAATGGGATCAAGAGAAAGACTTGTAGCTGAACTAAAAAAAGAAGAGTGAAGAAAACTCTTGACCGGGGTTTTCAAGTAGTCAGGTATTGTAAGCGAAAACTACCATGATCTCTCATGATAGGTCGTCTCATTTGGGACATTTACACACCAATGTTCGTAGTTTCTAAAACAAATCTCAAGAGTTATGGGTGTCAGTGGACAAATCAAAGTCACTCATAACAGTTTATGACTCTGACATCACTCCAGAGCTATCGGGTACACTGGAAAGAGGATAGTCTTTATATACATTTGGAACAATATGCGTACACGTTCGTTCATTTGTGAGCCTCATGAAAGCAGGACATAAAAAGTCATTAGGTGTGAAATTTCGAATGTTGTAGATTTATACTTCGTGCTATCTAAATTAGTTCAATCTGCTCAGTCGATGTTTTCATTTTAGAACACATGAATTCGTTTAGTAAAAATAACCGGCGCCTGATATTAGGCTTCAGTGTACTTGATATAAATTGAAAGAAGCATCCGCTGTAAAATCTGACAATATATTTGATGACAGGCTCCATATGACTGTCATAGAGAATGCTGTAGTGCAGCATGTATCCAAACCCACACATTTTTGTTCAAACCAAGGATTTTCTTTGTTGGATCTAGTAATCACTCATGAAACGGAGGATATTACATGTCTAGATACTTTCCCACCGTTGGTTAATTAAGGTCATGATTTTTAATCATTCGGGTTCATAACTTATGACAATCTATAACCAGGTTCGTCCTCTCTCAAATCTGTAGAGAGCAAACATTTCGGCCATCAAGGAGTGTGCTGTGGCGGAATCAGTCAGTCAGTAACAACGTAGAACTTCGTACGTACGTACATCAGTTCGAGTTGCCACACCACATTAGCACAGAGATGCAGTGGTCGCTTCAAATCCCGTAGTGGTAGAGGTAATAAGAGTATAAGCAGTAATCGGGAAGATTAGTGTTTGGAGATGTTACTTAAAGAGTATAATACAGTGAAATAAATTTGAGAGGAGAAAAAAAGAGACAAGGAAGAATAAGGAGATCAAAATTTGGGAGAACACAAAGAGTGGATGCACCTGCTGTGGCGGAATAGTCGGTTATTACTAGCTCGTCAATTTCAGTCATGGTTTATGCTTACAGGTACACTTCTCCAGGTATACCATGCTTAAAACTACACAGATCTAACACTTATCCACTATGAATAACTAAGGGGGTCAATAAACCCAGACGTAGGAAGGGACATCGGGATATGCCTTGGTACGTCCGAGAGTGTGGTGAGTCAGATCTCCCTCTCGAAACGCCTTCATATGGTCGTGCGTATACAACCATTGCCTTTTCGCGACGGGGGTGTTGTTTACGAAATTGAGGGGACGAAAAAGGAATGTCCGGTGTTTTAACTGGGTTGGTGGACACAGGTGATTCAATTAGGGGAGTTATAAAACCCTGATTTTAAAAAAGTAGTGCACATGGGCTCCAGAATTCTGAAGGAACAAATGGTGTATGAACCTATTGTTGGTCATCGGCCACCATGGGATTGCATCATCTAACGTTGCTCTACTGCCTTGTGGATTAGCTCGGGGAGTGGCTCCCTAAGAAAACCACTTGTTTTGTTCCGGACGCCCGGATAGTATTCCAGCCCTCACACAAGTCGAATGGCGAAATGTGTCGCATATGTAGTCGACGCCTCCTTGTACCAGTGTTTATGTGTTTAAATAAATGAAATCAGGATCTGGTTAGTTAGTATTCACCTACTGTAAAACTATAAACATATACAAAGCGTTAATAAGTAAAGCTGGATTATCGTTCGAGAAACAACTGATTTGAGGTTCTAAAATTAGTCCCAAAAGTTATGCTCGTACACAGAAACAAACTCAGAAAAGTGGCGGAATCCTGCCACTTCTGTTATGGGAAGATCCACTGACATAGTCAAGTAATGGTGTTGCCAAAGGTGGAACCTTGTCAAAATAAGTAAAGTATTTCCTCCCAATGATAGTAAGAGATTAATTACTAGCCTGAACAGTGGCGTTTTGTGGATGGAAAAGAGAGTTATCCTTCGACAACTATCTCTTAAACAGATAAGTCCTGTGATCTCGATAATATCCATCTTTAAATCATGGGAGCTCTGCAGTAATATGGTTTCTGATGTATTAGCAAGGCTGATCTGCATGTTTATGAAGTAGTTAAATTGTCGAAACTGGAAGAATGCAATAATTATTTCGGCCTATAAGGCTGGAAATAAACATTTGATTACTAGCTATTGCTCGATAACCTCAATTAAAAACATAGTAAAATTGATTATTCAGCCTGATGGGAATAATCGTTTAACGAAGAAATAACATGGTTTTGGAGCAGATCTTTCATGTTTGGCTAATGCCGTTATTGGAAGAAAGAGTGAACCGCAACAAAATTCTGTATCATCTCAGTAGATGTAGTTTTCATAGTCTAGAGGATTTCAGAATCAGTTATGAAGTTAGAGATTGGATAATTGACTTCCTCAGTAATAAGAAACAACAAGTAAAGGTAAACAGTATTCTATCATTATGGAAATATATGGACGGTGGGGTTAGGAGTAAGTTTTAGCAAGAGTGTGGTAATACAAGTCAGTCCGCGAGAATTTACATGACTTCACAGTAAATTAGATTGCTTTATTTGAAGTTATTGGTCATGATGATTTAAGAGTCATAGTAATGACCGTAGATTGCCCGGTAATTATGAGGTGGCCTCCTCCAAAGGCTTACCAGTCTTGAGTCATTTTGCAATTCAAATGAAGTGTTCAGAATATTATATTTGGCTTATATGGGACCGCATCTAGAACATGCGATTCGCGAAACAAAATCTTCTTTCATATACAAACTAGATATAATTGAAAGGGTTCAACAACTTGAAACATAAATCTGGAAAGGTTATTCTAGCCTGCCTTATAAAGGTTAACTGAAATGCTCTATCCTAGTTCCGTTTCCCGTGCACTAAATGATGATTTTTGTATCAATGTCTTATCTTTTTATCAAACACAGGACTGATCATCTGAGAGGATATTTTCAGAAGGGTCAAAAAGCGAGATCAAACCGGTTACATCTGGAATTCCGTTTCGTTCACTGAGTTGTAAATTGCTGTAATTGTCTACCCGAATACGTAGTATCAGCATCTGTTCATACGTCTAAAGAGATTGGGTCTTCACAGTACTGGAAGTCACGAGGTTTAACCTCCTGTCCCTAACTTTGAAGACATTCCTTTATACTTTGGAACAGTTTTGAAGCACCGGTGGTTTAACTTATGGTGTAAATCAAGTGCTTTTTGTACAGGTAATATTTGACTCGAGGTCTTGCAATTTATTGATACATACAATAGCTATTCTTTTTTTATGACTTAGTGATTTCCCCTGGGGAGCCTATCAGTATTCAGAATGTTTAACCAACTTGTGACAAAACAATTTGTCCTGTTATTTAAGTGTTTATTATTGTTTTATTGCCCATCGGATGATGGATTGGCGACTAGGCTCGCCAAGGAACAGATATTTTTCTTACTTAAATCCATTCGTTTTCTACATCGTTTTAATTTTACCCACCTACGTTAGGTTGGTTACTTAACTCCCCTCAAAATAATAAAAAGTTGCTCGACCCCCGATTTTCTCGTGCGAAGTCTGTAGCTCAATTATCACTGCCCTGAAAGGCTGACACTAAGTTTTTTCTGTTTTGGTTACTTTCTCACAAAATTATCTTCGTGCGTTCTCCACTGCCTTTTAGATAATTTCATTGTATCTTGCTTAAATTCGTTATAATTTCAAATCAACCTTAATAGTGGTAATTTTACAGCTTTATACAAAAAAATATTCTCATCAAAATGTCGTCTGTGTTTGTGAACATTCTTGTATTAAAATTGGTTGTTATTGCTTGTTGTAGGTATTTAGGGACTAAAGACAATCAACCAAAGATTTTTGGTGCTATTTGTGTTATGAATGTTTTGACTATTGTGTTTTTTAAATGCTCATTACACTGCTTATTGTTAACAGATTCGGTATATTTCAGTGTGAGTGTTGTTTGGTATTTGTGGTCCTTCATTTTTGTAAATTGTATTACTTGGTTTTCAACAGGGGTTATTTATACTCTAATCTGTTTTTATAGTTATGAAACCAACATGAGGCCCGATTTGCTGATGTTGCTAGTCCTAAGCCTGAGTAAAGATGGTAGGTTGGGGTATTATGTCTTACAACTCAACCTCTTAAGAAAGAACTTTGCTGCAAAGTCACTATGCAGAAAAAATATTAAGACCGGACTTCGGATACCCTATGTGTTGCCAAATTAGCCATTGGACTGAAATTGGGATTCATTAGAACCGGAATTCGAAATTCAATTTAACACAGCTGTTATGGAGAAGGATTTTACTGGTTTGATAGACGATCTTTTGTTTATCAAAGTCATTGATCAGAATCTTGATCAATAAATGAAATGCAGTGATACAAAGTATGGTCGATTGGTGGTTATTCACGAGACCACATTATTGGCTTAAGCTTTTGTATAATTTGAAATAAAAAAAGCATGACCATTAGCCAGAAGAATAGATTTTTCATATAATAAAATGACATGCTTATGTACAACATAATCACACAAACAAAAGTGTTATCATAGGTGGTTGGAAAAATCAGTTTGTAAATCACTAATTTTGCAACCAATTAAGACCTGATTGTTAGGCCTAATTCTTGCCCGTCACGACAACAGTTGACTAGCTTAGTAAACTAGTTTAACCCATTATATGTAGTATGTCATGATGTGGTGTTTCCCATTTTTAAATGTCACCGTCTTTTTTGATTAATAAGTGTTTTCCGGCTTTTAGGATGAAAATCTACTTGGCTTTCTTACTCATTGGATTTGGGGCGTTACTCTGTCACAGTGAAGCAATAATTAAACAACATTTACCAGCTGAACTTCTGTGTTCAGACATAAATTGTTTGAAAACCATAACTACTGGAAGTCTTATCAAAGATGTTAATGTACCGAATAAGAAAACATTAAAAGTGAATACCTTAGTGGACATAATAGGATTAAGCGCTGATGCTACTAATTCTATGATGAAAATAAAATTCGGCGAAGAATATTTATACATCGACCCAAGTTTTGTACAAATTAAGGATTCTGTTAGTTCACGCAAATTTTTAAAGGTGAAAAACTTCGATATAAATTTGAATCCTTCGACTCTATTAGATGAAAGAACACTTAATCTAGTGTCACCTTACCAACTACCATCGGATGAAGATTTGAATTACAAATCTACAGAGAAAATATCTGAGAAAGATCATCCAGATAACAAGCAAACAAGTTTCCGCAATCAAAGACAGAGTAATGCTCATGATACTAGAGAAAGGACGAATGAAATTGATGAAATGGACGTGGTTAGTAGCAGAAGTTATGATCAGGTGAGCAAACAAGAAACTACATACAAGATAGATTCTGATGAAGTGGAACAAGATGACAAAATTGAGGAAGATAATGACGACAATGAGTTTGACTATAACAATTCATACGAAATAAAACATGGTGACACGCATACCACAGACTATCCATCCGAATCACCCGGTGAACCGGCTTCTGTGAATCAAAAACCGTCATCGGTTCAGTCACATCACGTTGAAATGAATGCGTCTGGAATCGAACATGTGGAAACCCATGTACCGATACGACCACCGACTGTCTCACCCGATACTGATAAGGAGTCGAAGGAGGATGTTTCGAGTAGATCTGAACAGGGTGAACCTGTTTCTGTGAATCAACAACCGTCATCTGTCCAGTCACATCACGTTGAAATGAATGCGTCTGGAATCGAACATATGAAAACCCATGTACCGATACGACCACCGACTGTCTCACCTAATACTGATAAGGAGTCGAAGGAGGATGTTTCGAGTAGATCTGAACAGGGTGAACCTGTTTCTGTGAATCAACAACCGTCATCTGTCCAGTCACATCACGTTGAAATGAATGCGTCTGGAATCGAACATATGAAAACCCATGTACCGATACGACCACCGACTGTCTCACCTGATACTGATAAGGAGTCGAAGGAGGATGTTTCGAGTAGATCTGAACAGGGTGAACCTGTTTCTGTGAATCAACAACCGTCATCTGTCCAGTCACATCACGTTGAAATGAATGCGTCTGGAATCGAACATATGAAAACCCATGTACCGATACGACCACCGACTGTCTCACCTGATACTGATAAGGAGTCGAAGGAGGATGTTTCGAGTAGATCTGAACAGGGTGAACCTGTTTCTGTGAATCAACAACCGTCATCTGTCCAGTCACATCACGTTGAAATGAATGCGTCTGGAATCGAACATATGAAAACCCATGTACCGATACGACCACCGACTGTCTCACCTGATACTGATAAGGAGTCGAAGGAGGATGTTTCGAGTAGATCTGAACAGGGTGAACCTGTTTCTGTGAATCAACAACCGTCATCTGTCCAGTCACATCACGTTGAAATGAATGCGTCTGGAATCGAACATATGAAAACCCATGTACCGATACGACCACCGACTGTCTCACCTGATACTGATAAGGAGTCGAAGGAGGATGTTTCGAGTAGATCTGAACAGGGTGAACCTGTTTCTGTGAATCAACAACCGTCATCTGTCCAGTCACATCACGTTGAAATGAATGCGTCTGGAATCGAACATGTGGAAACCCATGTACCGATACGACCACCGACTGTCTCACCTGATACTGATAAGGAGTCGAAGGAGGATGTTTCGAGTAGATCTGAACAGGGTGAACCTGTTTCTGTGAATCAACAACCGTCATCTGTCCAGTCACATCACGTTGAAATGAATGCGTCTGGAATCGAACATATGAAAACCCATGTACCGATACGACCACCGACTGTCTCACCTGATACTGATAAGGAGTCGAAGGAGGATGTTTCGAGTAGATCTGAACAGGGTGAACCTGTTTCTGTGAATCAACAACCGTCATCTGTCCAGTCACATCACGTTGAAATGAATGCGTCTGGAATCGAACATGTGGAAACCCATGTACCGATACGACCACCGACTGTCTCACCCGATACTGATAAGGAGTCGAAGGAGGATGTTTCGAGTAGATCTGAACAGGGTGAACCTGTTTCTGTGAATCAACAACCGTCATCTGTCCAGTCACATCACGTTGAAATGAATGCGTCTGGAATCGAACATATGAAAACCCATGTACCGATACGACCACCGACTGTCTCACCCGATACTGATAAGGAGTCGAAGGAGGATGTTTCGAGTAGATCTGAACAGGGTGAACCTGTTTCTGTGAATCAACAACCGTCATCTGTCCAGTCACATCACGTTGAAATGAATGCGTCTGGAATCGAACATGTGGAAACTCATGTACCGATACGACCACCGACTGTCTCACCCGATACTGATAAGGAGTCGAAGGAGGATGTTTCGAGTAGATCTGAACAGGGTGAACCTGTTTCTGTGAATCAACAACCGTCATCTGTCCAGTCACATCACGTTGAAATGAATGCGTCTGGAATCGAACATATGAAAACCCATGTACCGATACGACCACCGACTGTCTCACCTGATACTGATAAGGAGTCGAAGGAGGATGTTTCGAGTAGATCTGAACAGGGTGAACCTGTTTCTGTGAATCAACAACCGTCATCTGTCCAGTCACATCACGTTGAAATGAATGCGTCTGGAATCGAACATGTGGAAACCCATGTACCGATACGACCACCGACTGTCTCACCTGATACTGATAAGGAGTCGAAGGAGGATGTTTCGAGTAGATCTGAACAGGGTGAACCTGTTTCTGTGAATCAACAACCGTCATCTGTCCAGTCACATCACGTTGAAATGAATGCGTCTGGAATCGAACATATGAAAACCCATGTACCGATACGACCACCGACTGTCTCACCTGATACTGATAAGGAGTCAAATGTGGATGTTTCACAAGTTTCATATTCCATCTCGTCAAGTGACATTTTGGACAATGATAGTCATATAGAATCTAATATTTCAAATTCACATTTTTCATTGCATGATCGTAAACAAGGAGTCATCACCAGTGATCTCATCGGTGTTCAAGATATTGGAATAATTTATTCTTCAGATGTAAATAGCTCTATTCTTTCATCCGTTTCACGAAAAGTGTCTGAGGATCAAATTATTTTCAATCATCACAGTGTTCCCGTTCACTTAGGTTTGATACAATGTATATACTGGGCAGCAAACGCTAGCTTTGATAAAACGTATTCTAAAACTGTTAGGTCACCTTTTTCGCGCTTCTTAGTCAATGGATTTTGGTACTTCTTTGCAGCTGCTAACGTTTCTCTGCAGTATTTACCAGAAAACATTATTTCCAATTTAGATAATTTTTTGCTTGAAACATTTTCTTTATCAGTAAATTTCATTATTGCTTGGATGATTTTTATAATTCACTTAATTTTTATGTGGAATCTAAGTAAGGGCGTACATTTCCTTCTATCTAAATACATTTTTTCTGAAAAATGCACATCTCCATCTCTCGTAGAATATCTAAAACTTGAGGAGTATAGCATTCAACTAGCTAGCCAACTTTCAGATACGGAAGAATCTAATTCTCATTTATCTAAATGGGCTAATTCACTTTCATGCAGTCTTCAAAATCTACAGGAAGAATATACTTCCAAATTATCTGAAATGACATTATCTATGGATGATTCTCGGGAATCTTTCATACGTGCTCAATCGGAGTTGAATCATTTAAAAAATACTCATAATTCACTGGAACAAAACTTACGTTTGAAGTTAACTGATAAAGAAGAAGTCATTCATGGATTAAATTCAGAAATTAATCGTCTGAAACAATTACACTCTGAAAATGATGATAAATGGAAGAAAAGTCTTTTAGATCTAGAAGAAAGTAACCGTAAGTCAATAGAAGAATTGAAAGAGGAACAAGAACAGTTATATTCTCAAGCTAATTTGTATTATAATCGCATGAAGACGATGCAATCAGAGGTCGACAAAATTTTAGAATCTAGAAAAGCATCTGAGGAAAAGTTACTGATTAAAGAAGCAGAATTTCAAAGTTTGCTTGCTACTTTTAATACGCTTAAAGGTCTTGAGGTGATTTTTGAACAGGAATCTTCCTCAAAACAGGAAACAAATGATATGGAAGAACGTGAAGTAACCACCACTGACAACCTATCTAATGTTAGTCGCACGTTAGAGGATGACGTGGAGATTAGCGATAAGTCAAGCATTATTTCCGAAAGTGCTTTGTGTGATTTAATTGAAGTCGATGAAAAGACTACAGAAAAATCTAGATTACAGAAGAATTTATCATTGCTCTTAGATGTTGGTCGTTTGCATGCTCAAATCAGACTTAAAGATGAACAAATTAAAGCTGAAGAGTCTAAAGCAAAAAATGAACATGATCTTCGAGTTGAAGTTGAATCCAAAATGGAAGAGATAGAAAGAGAGAATTCAACTCTTAAAGCTAATTTAATTCATATTGAACAAGAAAGAAATGCTTATCAAACAAAGCTTGATATTTTATCCTGTTATTTTAAAGAACGTGAACTTGAACTGCAAAGGGATTTAGGTAAGCATGTCGTAGTTGGTTCAGAATCTTCCGAAGCCCTTATGCACAGTCGAAAGCGTAATCAAGAGCTTGAGGGGGAAGTTAAAGTATTACGAGATCAAATGGCAGCTTTACGTCGAGAGCTAGTGGAAACTGAAAGAACTAGTAGGCGTCAAATATCGGAGTTAGATAAGCGTTCTCATGAAAATTGGTTAGCAGCTCGTGCGTCTGACCACCAAATTCAAGATCTACGTGAAGAAAACTTCAGTTTGCGACAAAAGCTCATTGAATCAGAGAACAATGCATTACGATCGTCAATGCGCGCCATCCCGGAAAAAATAAATAGTTCATCTCGTGAGAAAATTATGAACATTTTCACAAGACCTATTTTACCACTAGAATTTATGAAAAATCCAAGTGTAAGAGATGTACGCTCTCAATCAAGAAATTCTCTAACAAATTTAACATCGCAACGGCCGGTAGCAGAAGCTAATCCATTCCCATTCATCCCAACACCACCCCGAGGAACAATGCCTTTTTCGGGTGGATTTCAAAGAGATGTCATACCAACACCAACAAGGCCTCTTTTGCCAGGATTTCCTCCAGTGCAAATGAGTTTCCCGTCAGCATTTTTAGCTCCCCCATTCGCGCCCGCCATGAAAGCGATGACTGACCAAAATAATAAACAAAATAGTTCTCCTTCTTCTGTAAGCAGTTCACTAAAGTGATTTTAGATCTATAACGCTTTGTTTAGTATGTGGTTTTTCTTGCATTTTAATCTTCCGTTCTCTACGTTCCGATTGTTTCGTTGTGGTATTATTATTTAGGTTATTTTGAATCAGGCTGTAAAGTGATAATATTTTTACATTTGGTCTTTTGATAATAAGTATGTGCAGATATTATATTTCAGATTACATATATCAAGAATAATATTTTAAACATTAGTTGGTTATTGCACAAAAAATCTTTTATTCTGTGTTCGTACTTACGAAAATGTTTCTGTTTGTTATTTATTGCTCCGATATTACTTTATGTGAACCATTTTTGTTTTTGGTGAATAATGGTTCTTGAGTCATTCGCTTTATTAAAGAAAATGTTCTAAATTAGTGAAAAGTATGTATTTTTGTCATTTCATTATCTATTGTCTACCAACTGTCCTAAAGTAATATTACTGAATTGTTTGAGTTCATTGAAGATAATTATTTGGTTTATATCTCAGTCATTAGTTTTAAATGTAATCGGGAATTTCCAAAGAAGATCGCTAATTACAGCGCTTAGCGATATTAGTTCACAATCTGGAAAAAATACCAGCCTTTTTTTCGTAATTTGACATTCTTGTCAAATAATAAGGAAATGAAAACTTTAATTATGTGTTGCTCATGGAAAGTTGTCTTTAATACTCCGACCTGATACTCATTTAAACAATTAGTCGTGATAGCATGAACATGGCATTGACTCTATCTCTAATGTAGGAATTAAGGTAGTAAGTTTTCAAACCTTTCGTCTTACAGCTCCCGTTAATCTTATCAAATTCTTAAAATGGTAGGCAGATGTGTCACTCGTTTAATTGTCATTGTACTTATAGTTGTTTCGACTAGCAATGAGAAATTTTACTGTCAATTTCATTTTATTTTAGCTGGCTTAACTTGTATTTTTTAGCTCATAAGAATTTAGCTCGATGCTTAGTGTACGCAGCTGAACGCTTGATTGCTAAGCCACACAGAAGTTTACTCGTTCCTTGAATAACTTTGTTTTCATTTCGTCTTATCCCTTTCTAATATGTACAACTCGTGGACAATAGTCATTTCTTATGTTTGCAAAAATCTGTAACCTAATGTTTTCGGAAGGAATCTAATCTTTGATTTAAAGTCCTTGCCATAAAGTGTGATTATGCTACAATTTAGCAAATATTTTGATGTATTTCAGACGATGTAAGAATAACGTCATTGTTTTTTTTTTTAGTTAAGTCTTCATGAAGGATTCCTTTATGTATTCAATTTATCCAACATCAAGTTGCACCTTTTACTTTGTCCTGAAATTAGATGATGAAAACTAATAATTATACTCTGCTTTATTTAGATTGCATGATGCGATTCACTACAGAAAGTGAATTTAAATTCTGCAAATAAGGCATTAACCTGATTAACTGTGGTTTGCACTAGTCTTTTAGTGATAATTTTTGTAAAGCATCGAGAGAAAGACAAACATTATTGAGAGGGATCATATAAATGCAGAACAAACTGATGAATCCGTTCTTAAGTATTTTTTTGATTGTACAGAGATACTGATTAGTAGTAGGACAGTGGTGGTTGGTAACTTTTACTTAGCTATGTAGCCTCACTGCTCGTTCAAAAATATCTTTTCATCTCTATCCATCGTCTATGTACTTTATCAAACAAAGTTATGTCTCAGAAATCCCTAAGAAAACTGGACTTACAATCAGATGATAATTTATACTTCCTTGTAATGCTCATTGATTATATATATAAGATATTCATAGGTTAACTAGCACTCAACCACAGGTATCTTTTAACTGTTGCTCGTGTGTTTTTGGGCCATCAAGCGAGCCATGCCGAATTCAAGCATAGGGTACAAGGTAAAGATGTCAAATAGGTTGACGAACTAGTGGTACGTACCCCCAATCACCACCTACCTCAGTTCACGATGTTTACTGGGAAAGTAGTCTGGGAGAAATCTGCCGACAGCCAAATCAGGAAGTGGCACCAATCTGTGAAGTTAGTGTCAGTCTAACTGAGCAATTATGGTATTCATTACAGTCGTGTTGAATTTGCTTAAGTGGATACGCATTCCAGAATACATGACCTGATAACATGTAACTCAAATGCACTAATTCTATTTCATTGGTTAATTTGTGCTATTAATATATATATCCTATTGCATACTTTGGTTGTTCGTCTATCTATCTGTTAATCATATTCCATGATAATGCTGACCTGTAAATATTTGACACACATTGACTAAAGTATACTGGACATTTTGGACTCATTTAAGTACTATACCGATTAGACCTGTCTAATCCAATCCCCAATATATTTGATCATGATACAATTAATGCCGATTCTACTTTCATTGTTGTTATAAATTCAATTACCTTACCGTTATAACTTGTCGTTTGAATGCTTATTGTTGTGGCTCTTTTAATGCTACTTTTTGTATCTGGTCGTCGCTGATTGTTAGGTCCGAAACGCTTATCACTTATACTCGGAACGAGGGACCTCTGCAATTCCCACGACGCGAAAGTAAGAACACAAAGACTGGTATAAGTGATGATTTATTAAACCCAAAATATGACGACGACGACAACTCTAGTAGAAAATACACCCATCTATATATTGATTGTACACCCATTTTGATTAATAATGAAGATGAAATCACATATATTAAAATAACTTAGAGTTATAACAAATCACATACTGAGCATAGTGCATGTCAATGGAATACAGTCAGTCAGCTACAACGTAGGACCAGGCACATATGTGCATCGGTCCAAGTTGCCATACCTCATTAGCACAGCAAGATGAACACCGGATTCATAGGTATGCCTGTGTTCTAGAACCTGATGAATGGTGAATATGTGGTCGATGCAGCCACGACCAGGTCTAAAGCCAGCTTGGTTCTCTCGAGTTTGTAGTTCACGAGTCTTAGTTAGGCGTTTGATAATTATCGAGGCCAGTATTTTAGAAACTATGTTTGTTAAACTAATCCCTCTGTGGTTGTCACAGGATGATTTTGACCCTTTCTTATATATTGGGACGATAAGTGATTGCGACCAGTCAGATGGGATAAAGTCTAATTCCCAGATCTTAGCTAAAATATTAGTCAACTTAATCGCTAAAATTGGACCACCATCCTTAAAGACCTCTGGAGCCAATCCATCTGGACCAGCTGCCCTTCCTCGTTTCAGATTCACTATAGCCTTTTGAACTTCAGCAAGAGTAGGGGGACCTATTTCAATGTTCCATTCACACTGTCTGGGAATGGAGGGTAGTTGTAGAGTAGCTGAAGGCCAGCTGAACTGTTCTCTAAAATGTTCCGCCCATCGTTCTAAACGTCTGGACTGGGAGCAGATGAGAGTATCATCTTTTTCCGAAATAATCTCACTTACACTTGACTTACTAATTCCAGTTTCTTTTATTAGTCTGTAAAGCTGTCTTGTGTTCCCTATAGTCGCCGCCATACGAGAAAAGGAAACAAATACTACATTGAGTAATCATTACATTGAACCAAAACGGAAGTAATGTTGAACAAAACTCATAATGTGTAAATCAATTGAAAACTGACTTTTCTTTCCATCATATCACCTACAAGGATGTCTAGTATTGGTGTTAATCCAGCACTATTATTTCAGGCCAGTCGTTTCCATTCAGTCCTATTACACTTCATTGTTTGTTATTACTGTGCATGTTAGTTAATTCAGTAACTTGCTAGATTTATTCAACTTTGACCATCGAGTTAAATATAAAGACCATAAGAGACATGTGGTTAAGCGTAGACTATGTATTGATTGTTTGCGTGACTATAATAACCAGTGATTGCAGACGACTGATGTGGCTCAAAATCATATTGTATTGTAGTGACTAAATAAAGCTTGCGTAAATGTATCCGAACTTTTGGGTAGATATTAAAAATTCAGACACTAAGTATTTACTATTTTACCTCTTGTTTGTGTCCTTGTCAAATATATTTATGCACACTTGACTTGAGCATATGTCTGTACAGTTATCAGTAATTCATCGTCTTACTGATTCATAGTCTTTTTAGGTTTATATAAAGGCTTATAAAAAGTTATATTTTTGATAGAGAGGTAGCGTCTCTCCGCTTCGTATCTGTTCACTTTACACTCATAGTTTGTTTGCTCAATAATAAATAATTGAAATATATTCTTCCCAAATACATTACTGATTAACATGTTTTATTTCGTTAACAATTGTGTTATTTAGTTAGGTTGTGTGAGGGAAGTTAGTTAATGAATTATATTTCATCATCGTCATCAACTAAGTAGCGAATTCAATCAACCAAACTCCAAATTATTGTATTTATTACCAGAATTTAATTATGTAATTCTTTATTAATACGTTCCATTCGCTAGTCTGTCACGAGAGATTGAGGTGAATAATAAAAGATTCAAGAATTTGGATAAGATATTTGGAGAGTACGTATTTGAAGTCATTTTAATTTGCTTACATCAGATGAGTTTTGAGTGGGCTCCAAAGAATCCTTCAATAATTATATTCTGTGAGGCACTTACGAAGTACGGTTGTTAAACGAGCCATTTCTAACTTAGTATTTAATTTGAAGTTAACTAAATGACAGTTTATCTAGAGAATTCGATTTTTGAATCCTTGAAGCTACTCATTTTTGTGTAATACCCCCCTAAGAGTATTCAAAGAGCAACATTCTAGTTGTTCTTAAGCTGTCATTAATTTTATCTCAGGAATTAATTGCATATGTGTATGGTGTTCTCGTGTGTTACGTTAGATCTGTTAGTGACTGATATCAGTAATTTTTTTATTTAGTGGTGTTGAGGCGGAAACTACCCCTGAAGTCCCTCCAGGGGCTACTGCCGGTCATTGTGGAACAATCAATTGAATGGAATTCATCACTCTACATCAACTTCATTGACTACGAAAAGGCATTTGATAGCGTGGACAGAACAACACTATGGAAACTTCTTCGACACTACGGCGTGCCTCAGAAGATAGTCAATATCATACACAACTCATATGATGGATTACACTGCAAAATCGTGCATGGAGGACAGTTGACAAAGTCGTTCGAAGTGAAGACCGGTGTTAGGCAAGGTTGCTTACTCTCACCCTTTCTCTTTATCCTGGTGATCGACTGGATCATGAGGACGTCAACATATGAAGGGAAGCACGGGATACAATGGACATCTAGGATGCAGTTGGACGATCTAGACTTCGCAGATGATCTGGCCCTTCTTTCCCAAACGCAACAACAAATGCAGGAGAAGACGACTAGTGTAGCAGTAGCCTCAGCAGCAGTAGGTCTCAATATACACAAAGGGAAAAGCAAGGTTCTCCGATACAACATAGCATGCACCAATACAGTCACAATTGAGGGAGAAGATTTGGAAGATGTAAAAACCTTTACATATTCGGGCAGCATCATCGATTAACACGGTGGATCTGATGCAGATGTGAAGGCGCGAATCGGTAAAGCAAGAGCAGCATATTTACAACTTGGAAACATCTGGAACTCAAAGCAACTGTCAACCAACACCAAGGTCAGGATTTTCAATACAAATGTCAAGACAGTTCTACTGTATCGGGCGGAAGTCTGGAGAACTACTAAAGCCATCATCCAGACGATACACGTGTTTATTAACAGTTTTCTACTCAAAATACTTCGGATCTGTTGGCCGGCCACTATTAGCAGCAACGTACTGTGGGAGAGAACAAACGAGATCCCAGCGGAGGAAGAAATCAGGAAGAAGCGCTGGAAGTGGATAGGGCACACATTGAGAAAAGTACCCAACTGCGTCACAAAACAAGCCCTCACATGGAATCCACAAGGCCAAAGGAAAAGAGGAAGATGAAAGAACACATTACGCCGAGAAATGGAAATAGACATGAGAAAAATGAACAAGAATCGGATGGAACTAGAAAAGAAGGCTTACGACAGAGTGGGTTGGAGAATGCTGATCGGCGGCCTATGCTCCATTGGGAGTAACAGGCGTAAGTAAGTTGAGGAGGAGCTATTTTTTCAAGGAGAGAAAGCATTGGTTGTTCATTAACCTTAGGTCATTCTAAAATCAAAATTCTTTAGTTTACTTATTGTCAGCCTCGCAACTGACTTGTTTAAATGCGAAATTATAACGAATTTCCCATTGTTTTTTTTTAAAGTAATTTGATATTAGGTGTATTTTAATTTATGTTAATTAGTTTTTGATGTGATATATAATTTTTTTAATAGTCTTTGATTAACATCATAAAAGATCGAATTCTTTTCTACACTGTCAAATAGAAATGAACAAATATGAATCTTATTCCACCGTATATCACTTCCAGCTTTTTACACTTCTAAAC